CACATGCAGATTAACCCATAAAACAAAATGACAATAACCGAACCCTGCCGCTGAACGCTCTTATATCCAGGTGACTGCTCTGAAGCTAAAATAGACCTTTAGTGGCTGTTCAAACACTGAGCCCATCTGCGCGTGTGCCCTGCCACTCTCTGCATGGATACACTGTGATCACAGCGCACAAAAGGGAAAGGAAGAAGCAATAACAAAGTAGATGGTGGTCGTTATTATTATTTGGATTTTCCCCTGAATGTACTGATTATTAAATATTCATTCTTATACGTTATTAATAGCTACTAGTAGAAGTAGTTAGATTAGTAAAGCCTGTCTTTAATCAGGTAGAAAAGGGTGTAGGTGAGGGAACAAGGTGAAATTTCCAGGATAAACTCTGGAATGCCTCTGATTAGGAACTGTGTAAACACAGGCAAGAGTTTCCTTTGATGATTAGAAAATCACAGAAACAGACTGCCACTGTCTGGAGGAAAATCTAGTTTTAATATTAATGGGATTAGCTCTTTTTTTCTTTTTTTAGCAAGCTAGCAATGTGAGGTCACTTTGGTCCAAATATTTGACAACTATTGGATGGCTTGCCATGGATAATTAGCATGTGTTCACATGCAAACATCCTAAACTAAGATGGTTAACATCATCATCTACCTGTAAACATTGTGTTAACATTGTCATTGTGAGTATGTTAACATTGCGGATGTTAAAGCAACGTTCAACCTCACAGAGCTAATTTAACTGATATCAACACATTTGTAGAATCCAGTTAATTTCAGTCGGATTCACAAGCGTAAGTGATTATGATTCCTTGCGTTTTTGCATTTTTATTATAGCTGGCAGGTTTTTGTCGGCCCAAAAGTTCAGTCATATTTCATGGCAGTATATTTATCATGGCTGTTATTTTCTGACGGTGTAGCTACTGTGCGGTGAGGTGCTTGTTGTGTGTCTCTTAGCACCTGAAGCCACAGCAGCTTCTTTGTCCTCCGGAGTTTAATGTTCACAAACTCACCTGTCTGCTTGACTGATGTGTTATTGACTCCAGCTACAAAAACCCTGTCATCTGTTCCTCGTCAAGCCTGACAGCTGCTCCTGCCATCAACACACTCGCTCTGACTCTGGCCTCATGCTGCTGAACCGATTAATCCCTATTTCTTCTTTCATGATTAGCAGACCAAACCGGTTTGCGACATGTTTTTGGGAAACAGTGGTCTCAGCAGCTGACTGTGACTCAGAACTAGTAACCCAGGGTAGCTCCCCGTATGACGTAATTGCCAACGCTCAGCATCACAAGGATTAGATGTGGTTTTTACTCTGGTTTGGGTATGCTGCTGCTCACACAGATGGTTTGAAGTTTCTGCTCTGGCGCACCCTGTTCGATTTTGTTGTTTTCTCCCACACAACCGTGCACGCTCAAAAATTATCGCCAGTGGCAACAGTGTTGCTTCCAAATGAACCTGCTCCCAGACTGAATTAACGAGACGGTATATAAGTGGGAGTGACACCAAGGAAGTGACTGACTGAGAGGTTAGGGACTGACTCATCAACACTGCAGTAGATGCATTCCCTTTTTATCTGCACTGAATATCTGTTCCATCTAAATGGAAAATGTTCATTTTGAACTAGTGACTTATGAGAATGATTGTGCTGGTTTCACTTTGTAAAAGAGGAAGGCCCTCCACAGGGTTATTAATATTTCTTTTAACTCTTTACTTCACTGCAACACAAATAATGTTTCAATAATAGAACAAATTGGTTTCACATTGTTAAATTGGCACAACCTGGTTTACACTCTACTACACTGTACTCTATCTTAATCGAACATCAAATGCCAATGTAAACTTAACAAAACACCACCAATGTAGACTTAATCCAACCCTGATCCAGGGATAGAACTGATGTCCTCTTTACATTGCAAAGCGCACCTTTATGAATATTGGTTCTCTTTTTTGTTGTAACTATTTATGTAACTATTAACTCATCCATCCATCCATCGTCAACCGCTTATCCTGCGTACAGGGTCGCGGAGGGGCTGGAGCCAATCCCAGCTGACTTTGGACGAAATGTAACTATTAACTGTAACGGAAAATAAATATAAATTTAGGACTATATAATAAAAAAAAACAAGAGACCCTCTCCCAAAAAAAAGTCAGACTTGATGCTTTACTATTAATAGTTCTTGTGAAAAATTATCTATCATTACAGACTAGAGGAAGAGGAAGTGATACAGCAACAGTGGGGAAATCTGAACCTGTTGACTCTGACTCTGCATAGCTATCAAGGCCTTGATTCGTCACGACCACATCAAGTTTGCTGAGCTAGATACAAGCTGAGCACGTCTGTTGTGTCTCCTCAACACCAACTGGGCCAAATGTCACCTATCTTTCCCCTGGTGTTGTCAGTCAGTCTGTCTCCTCCTGTAAAGTGTCATAACTGGATTCTTCCAGTTCGGTGCTGCTACCGGGAAACAGGAGTGGAGGACTTTGGGGGCCTCGTTATGTTGGATGGCATGGCAGGGGTGTACTGATTTTTTGTAGCTTAGCTTCGGTCCAATTAAAGGAGGGGAATGCGATTCTGTAAAAATCCAATACCATGATATAAAGTAAACAACGACAAGCAAATAACGTAGCTAATGTTACCTAAGTTGTGGGTTTGCAAACTGTCGCTACAATTACTGTTGCGAAGCTAACAAGCAGAGAGGACAAGAAGGTCCCAGAGCCAGAAATCCAGCTCCAGACAAACTCTCCTGCTACTATAGATAGATAACATCACACCAACAACATGTCTTGGCAAACTAGAAAGTACGTTGAGTGTGTTATCTGACACACAAATCATTTCTGAAATAGAGTTGTATGGTTTGGCCTGAGCCACTTTGTTTGTTTCCCACTTACAGAGCCAGGGTTGTGTACAAACACTGGATTTTATTTCAGGGCACACACAGAACATAGCTAGCGGACCACGAGGAGACGTTTGCTTAATTTGACAAAAAGACGTGTGTCGTGGAAATTGTATCTTGCTGGTAAGGGATTAAGCAAATAATTGAGTAACAACCAACCATTGTCTTTGAAGAATTTATTAATAAAAGAGAATAAACAGAGAAGTTCTAAAACACATGTATAGCTGGTCCAGAGACCTGCCGCCTAGGGCAGCATCAGGCGTCTGGTCTCGAGCAAAATGATGCATAATCATTCACATAGTCTAGGTTTCTATGTTTTGGGGAACAGAGATCATCTCCTTGCCTTGAATGAACATTCAAGGAGAGGAGAAATATAGCAAGAGGGGGAAAACACTAAACAATCTCACAGCTCTGACCTAAACCCTACAAATGTGAACAGACAGTTAATATTGAGAGAAAAGGTTAAGGTATAAAAAAACACTATATATATATGTGTGTGTGTGTGTGTGTTTGTATGTAAGACAGAATAATTGTAATAATAATTTTTAATAATAACAATTTTCTGCCACAACAGCATGTATTGGATTAGAATTGCATACCCCACCTTTAATCAGGGGAGTGTAGTGTTTGTGGGGTGAGAGGGTTCAAGCAGCTGCCTAACAAGCTGCACCCCTGTGGGGAACACAGTGGCCAGATGGACGGGTGGACAGACTGATGAGGACAATGGGACTGGAGAGGAATTATGAGCGCAATGTTGATATTTATGACCCATAATAAAGATAAACCTAATTTTTAGTTCCCTGCCCCTACTCTTTCACCAGAGACCCACTTCATTTACTGCTGTTGACTTGGAGTTTGATTTCTTCTCCTCCATGTAAAAACAATATATTCTCCAGATGGCATAAATTAAACACCACATTGATTGAGACAATAAATCTTTAAGCCACAAGTTGCTCTCGTGCTCTCTGTTACTATTTTTTGCTCTTTGTTTTGCACTTGTTGAAGAAGGTTGCTGACGTATGGTTAAGAACAGCTTGTGCTCTTGTTTCGAGTTGAGGAGTTGAGTGTCATTATGCAAGACGATGGCTTTGCTGTCTCTGCTCCACTTCAAATGCTGGAACAAAAACAGTATGAGAAGTACCCTGCTGCAGACAATACAGGGTGTACTTTGTGGCAACAAACCTATTAATAGTCAATAAAGTAGAACACAGGTATTTGCCTGAATGTGTGCAGTTTGATACAACGAGTGATTTTAGGGGTTTTAAGCGGATTGTAGCAAAACAAAAATGTCAACAAAGATTAATGTGCAGGCTAACATACCGCAGAGCAAAAATGAGTGAATTAATCTACTGTAGTTAACTAAATCCAATTATAGATATAATTAGAGCTAGCAGCAGCCTGACTGCTCTAAGTCAAGCTGTCGTCACACACAGGTTACACTGGGTCCCTTGGATACATGTTAAAAAGGTTCAGACTGTTGCCACTTACAAAGTCAGCAAATGGACTCAGTAATGTGTGTTACAGTTAAGAATGTCTTTCTAAAGTTTGCCAATATTAGCAACTATGAGCTAAAAAGTAAGACCATGTAAGGCTGTAACAGCAAAACTGAGCAAATGTGTTTTATTGCTAATGAATTCCAACTTTTAATTTGCAAGAGAATGTATAAATGCTATGTCTTGTGTCAAAGTTCCACAGTCATTAAGAAATATTGTGTTTCTAGGTAATACAGCACCATGTGCAATGCCCATGCCACTTTGTTTTGGGCCTTCAAAGGCAAAAAACCTCCCTGTTTCACTGGTAAAGCCCTGACGCCATGCTCTTCAGAAAACCTTTTTTCTCTAATTCCAACGTGAAATTCGAGACCAGACTGCTTCTGCATGGTGTGTTAGAAAGTGGATAATTGATTTTTCTCCGTAAGCCCCAGGCTAACAGTGTTTCACAGTGATTTAAATCATATTCACATGTTATAAAGAGGTCATGATTGAGATTGCCCGCTGTGTTTTGAGTGTATCTTTAGACTTCACGTGTTTGTGTGTTTATGTGAACTTGCCGTGTATCACGTTGAAGTTAGTAAACTAATCTGGTCCCGCTGCTCTCTTCATAGCTCCCCAACATGTTTGGAGACCTGAGGTCGACCTTTATTGCTCTGATGATTGGATCCTACGCCTCCTCTGCTGTCACGTTCCCCGGCATCAAGGTAACTTTCGATTTGTGGTTTCAGTTATGTGACGGCAGAAAATTGTTTTCTTCGTATACTTATAATCTTTTATGCAAGTACTTATAAGAGTGCTATTTCTCTATGATTATTATTATGTCTTATACATCGTTTAATCTTTAACCTGTTCCTTTTATTATTATTCTCATCCTGCGAGTCTGTCCACATGTGTAGAGTTTAGGTCAGGGATGTGGAGTTGTTTTTTGTTCCTCTCCTGTTTTGGCTGGGACCAGTCAGAGCTGGTAGAGGATCTTTTGTTCCCTAAAACATAGATACCCAGACTGTGTAAATGATTATGCAGCCCTTTGCTCTGGGCCAGACGTTAGTGACTGTCTTAGGAGACAGAACCTCTGGTCCAGCTGATTTGTGTTGTAGTACTTGTTAAATAAATTCTTAAAAGACAACAGTTTGTTGTAACTCAATTATTTGCTCAACCTCTCACAAGGAATATAATTTCCACGACAATTTATATCCCCTGATTCTTGATTACCCCAAAATATTCTTTATTTTTTATCTAATTCTATCCTTATCCATCACATAAGGTTTGCTCCTACAAAGTGAATGCAACGCTAAACTTAACTCTGATTCTCCATTATAACGTGTCTGTTCGGGTGCCGTCTGCCCATCTGTAGGTGATCTATGATCTGGGTGCCACCTTCATCACTATCCTGGTGGTTTGGGCCGCCTGCGCCTGCCTCGTCTTCCTCAACTGCTTCGTCAACTGGCCTCTTGAGCCCTTCCCCGGCCCAGAGGACATGGACTTCACGTAAGACAGATAGACGCACTCACTCCCGCACACACACTAGAGTCATCTACACAGTTCTGTTGCCTCCAGTTATCACTGTTAAACAGCCACTGTAACGCTATTGGCTTACCCCAGGTTATACCTGCTGTAAATGGATTCAGACTGAGCCCAGACAGCCTGCATTCTCCACAGAGATCACTGCATCACTACATCCACATGTACATGATCGCATGGACATGCATGCTCACACGCTCATGCAGAGTAAATCCCTGTGTAATGCAGCCGAGCCCAAGTGAGCCTTGGAGACAGGAAAGACCATAAAACCAGATAATCAGCTGGCTTTGCTCTCAATCACCTGGATCCTTTGTTTCCTGCCATCCTTGCCCTTTTCCTCTCTTTTTTCCTTCTAACTTGTTTTCCTCCTCCTCTTCCTCCTTTTCTCGTTTGACAGTTTTGCTCTGTATTTTGTGCTCGCAATCATCTTGTCACCTTCTCTCTCTCTCTTTCCACCGTTCCTTCAGGGTGAAGATCAAGTTCAGCTGGCTGGGCTTTGACCACAAGATCACAGGGAAGCAGTTTTATCGGCAGGTTACCACCGTGGGGCGCCGTCTCAGTGTCGGCAACTCCATGAAGCAGCCGAACCAGCCACCCAGAGACCTGGCCACTCAGGAGGCCAGCAAGCTGTGCCTGTCCACCGTCGACCTGGATGTGACGTGCAAGGCCAAGGAGGAGAGTAAGTCTGAAAGATCTGACGTCTCTAATGTTAGGAATCTGTAGTAAGGTGTACACTATCTGCAAGGCACCCAACTGCAGACAGACACAGTTAGCGGCCAGCTGGCGAACATAGTGGAGCATTTAGCTTCTACAGAACATGATATTTTTCTCAGGAGTTGGTGGAGACTAAAACAGAGCTAAAAGGAGAGTGAATGCTGATGTCAGGTGGACCAAAACATGCCATCAATTAATACAGCTTTAACTTAGCAGTTGTTTTCCCTAAAAACTGTCACATTTAAAGATTTTGCATCTAAGAAAGATCAGAAGCAGGCTTAAAAAACCCACCATGCGTTACTTTTGTGTAATTGTAGCATGTAAACTGCTCCTTCGGGCATTAAAATTCCCACATTCCCCAGAAACACTACAAAGGACCTCAGTGTCCTACAGTAGCTACAGCCTCGCTAAGACTGACAACTATCAGTAATCAGAGCACTGTTGCATGTATATCTATTGTATTGTTGGAAAGTTGGCAGAATCACCTCTTAAAAACTCTCACCTTCTTAAAAACCTAAAACCCCAGGGCCTGACCTACATCTGTACACAACAATTAGGCAGAAGCATCCCGATGGTACTTTACCTCTGCCCTACATCCATGCTTAGCAAACCTGTTACCCCTACACCTCCAGGCTTCCTCGGGCCCTTATGACTCTTCTACACCGGGGTCAGGGACTCCCAATGGGGGTGTCTGCTTGCTCCCCTCTCGGCCTCTTTGGTACCAAATGGACTGTGGAATTGTTTCGGACCCCGTTCTTAGAAAAGCCGCTCAGCAGGTGTGTTGCTCTGGCAGGGAGCCCTACAGAGAAGCATTGTTATAAGTTTAAGGCCAAGCATCAGCCAATTCAAGTGTGTGTGTGTGTGTGTGTGTGTTACTGTGTGTGTGTGTTTAGAGCAGTCAGGATGCCCACGGTTGGTTTCATAACAGCTGGACATGGTTCCGTCTGTCAGGAGCGTTAAAGAGGCCCATATCACACACTCACACACAAACCTGTTTCCCCTCTCACTCGTCTCTAATTTGATGGCAGCTGCGAAAGTCCTCCTCCTGCCTCCTGAGATCTGGAAGACCGGATTTGTATTTTAAACGCACTTTGTTCTCTTATTCTATCATCAGAAACAAGCACACATCATGTAGCTGCACTGAAACACTAATTGATTGTTGCGATTTTAATGTCAAAATAAAATACATGCTGTATATTTTTTGTCTCAAGAATCTCAGCCTCTTCCTTTTAGTCTGGGACAGAATGGTTTCTGGGCTTCCTTTCATGACATTATGGCCACAAGTGCCTTGATCAATGCTGGATCAATGCATTATCAAACGACATGCTTGTAAAAGTGCTTATAAAACATTATACCTTTTACCAAACTATTCCCTTAATTAAGTCTCAGATGGATACCTGTTGTTCTAGGTAATAAACCCATGTGCTCCATCTGTGCACTAACAATTAATTGGTTTGTCCACTTCTTCACCATATGGGCCGTTGTGTCCAATTTCCATTTATATTCACAACCTTTCCTAGTACCCACCTTTCCTTGAATCCCCAAGCCACTCCATGATAAGACGTGTTACTGTGGCACCCAAGGGCAAGTGGGCTCATTTAGATAACAGCCTCTTACCTCCACCTTAACAGTGGAAAAGTATTGTTGTAGTTTCCCATCCTATGAAAAGAGATTAGAAAGTAAAAAAGAGGTCTTGTGTAGAGACGGGCAGGTTTAGGCTTGTAGCCGTCTGTAGAGCTCATGAAAGTTGGCTGCTGCTGCTTCTGCTTTACCTGCAGGCTGTGGAGCCTTAGAAGAGATCCTGTAGGTTGTGTGTTGAGATGTTGTGCCTGGCAGAAACAAGCTGCAGACACATGTCATTTCCATTTGTCCAATACATGTTTTATGACCAAATACCTGCAGAGCTAACGACACACTCATGAGCCTCAGCTGTTCTTTGTATTCACTGCTAATTAGCAAACACTAGAATGAATCATTATTTTACGAAAACAGTAGTGAAAAAGTACGTGAAATAATATAAAGTTGATGTGTTCAGGGGGATATCTTGCTCCTATGAAATGTGAATAACGCTGATCTGATATTTAATAAGAAACTAGATGTATTAGCATGTGATTTGTTCTGACCCTGTCCTCTCTGCTTTTATTTCCTCTGCAGCTCAGTCCTTCATGAAGAGTGTCTTGAGTCCCATCTTCTTGCTGAGCCTCATCACCATGTGTGTGACCCAGCTGCGCCTCATCTTCTACATGGGAGCCATGAACACCATCCTGGAGTCTCTGACAGAGGGCGACCTCAGCACAGGTGCGTGTTCTTGCCAGCACATAGTGATTTAAACTGTATGTGAAAACGAAGATGGTGTTCCGTGAGCGGTTGCTTTTTATCTTTAACATCTGACCGCAGACATTTAACTGTGGATGTTCATCTCTTCCTAAGACTTTGTCTCGTCTGTCTGCTCTCTGACACCTAACAGTCCTCTGTCAGCTGCTTTCTGCCCCGCCTTATTGCTTGTTGTTAACTCTGCTTCGTCTTTCCTTTTCCGTTTGTCTCTCTTGCTCTTTCCCTTTTCCTGTCACGCTGTCTTCATGCTGCTGTTGCAGTGGAGAGGATGCAAGTGGGTAAGAGACCTCAGGCTTAAATCGCAAAGATCTAACCGCCTAGACTCTTCGGCCATTCTGCTCAGCTTTCTGTCCTCTTTGCTGCTTGTTTGTTTCTATGTGCATCACAAGGATAACAATAACTTAAAGAACTAAATAATAACACTCGTTTCTGTGCTGTCGTCTGTCTCCCAGTGAGTGTCTACACGTCCATCTTTGGCGTGCTCCAGCTTCTGTGTCTGGTCACCTCCCCTGTGATCGGCTACGTCATGGACTGGAAACTCAAAGACTGTGAGGAAGAGAATGACAAGGGCGCCAAGAGGTGAGGACGCACACATAAACGCACACATTTAGACAGACAGCACAGACGAGGAAATAAAAGGAGAAGCTGGAAAAAGCTTGACTTTATTTTATTCTCTCCTGTTCCATTAGGGAGCCCGGTCAGCCCCGCCGCCCCGACAAACAGATTCAGAAGATTGTCAACGCCACCAGAGCCTTTATCTTCACCAACCTACTCCTTGTTGGCTTTGGATTCACCTGTATCATCTCCAACCTGCCACTCCAGGTCCACAAACACACACGGGATATTGAACTACTTTATGTCTTTGAAGCTTATTCGGGGATGCACATTTCCCAGCATGTGCTGCAGAAGCCCTTAGTCTCCTCACAGAGAGAGTTAACACTGCAGAGAGCTAAAGAGAGACTGAGAGATGTACATGATGTTCAAAAAACAGAGACATACATGGCAATGCAGCGCCCGCTCTTTCTCAGCACTTTAGTGACACCTACTGGACAAAAGAGTCACTGCGTGTTATTTACTCATTCTGAATCTCATTGATCAAAGATGAAAGCCATTTCTCAGCGAGGTACTTAATGGAAACTGTATCTGTTTTTCTCCTCAGATTCTGTCTTTTATCCTGCACACTATTGTCAGAGGCTTCATCCACTCTGCAGTCGGAGGCCTCTATGCTGCTGTGTAAGTGTGTGTAAGGATAATAGCGTTACAATGCACAATAATACTGTATAGTAATAGTATTTACTATGTACCATGTGATGTATGCAGTAAATGGTACACCAAACAAACATTATATGTGTATGTTAAACATCTCTTTCCGAATCCATGAGTATTAATCTGCTGCTATAACATGATTTTGGAACCTGGCAGCAGGGAATAGGTACCATTCTGCCACAAGTGCATTATGAGGTCCAACATAGATGTTATATACTGTACAGATTGTAAAGTCCCTCAATTTGTGATATTGGACTATATAAACACAACTGACTTTCTTGAATACAATGACGAAACAAAAAGAACCTTTTCACCCCAGAGTTGATGTTCTAAACTAAAGTACCACCTCAGGTTAGCTATGAAACTTGAATTTACCGTCTGAGACATGTTGTTTCTCTGATGCAGGTACCCATCCTCTCAGTTTGGCAGCCTGACAGGCATGCAGTCTCTGATCAGCGCGTTGTTTGCCCTGCTCCAGCAGCCTCTGTTCATGGCCATGGTGGGACCCCTGGAGGGAGACCCTCTGTGGGTAAGATAACACAAATATATAGACATTAGCATATATGAGTAAACGAGCAAACGCTGTGGAAATACTTAGACCTGCATCATTATGTTGGCCTGACTCTTTTGTTATCTTCAGGTTAACGTGGGCCTGTTAGTGCTGAGCATGCTGGGATTCTGCCTGCCCTGCTACCTGATATTCCATAGCCGCCACCTCCAGCGCCTCAGAGACGAGCGTGACGAAGATCCCAAGATCTATGTCAAAATTAACGACGGCAGCAAGCCCGAGGCCTTTGTCTAGACCGGGAGGAGGAACGGAGAGGAAAAAGATTTTCTTTAAACTGGAGAAGGCGAGCTACACTAAAAAGAGAAGGACAGAGATAAGAAGAGACGGGAGGGGAGAGTGGTTGTGTGACACATGTGATGAATTCCTCCACCCTGTCCTGCCTAACACCACTTGCAGTGCATCTGCATTCAGGCGACTCACTCATCCCTTACATTCCCAATACACACACTTTCACTCACACCATTTTACTGCCATGCCATGTACGTGGTCACATATGACTGCACGCAATTGTGACACCCAGTTTCACCCTCTCTGGTACGACACACTTTGAGAATCCTGACACACACGCCTCTTCAAGCCCCATGGAGAGCTCCCACTCCCTCACCTGCATCTCTGAACCGGGAGGAAAATAGACTACTGGGAGAAAGAAGCAGTGACTCCTCTACACATCTTATCTTCACTCGTCATTCGACTTTTTTTTCTCTCGCTCGAGAAAAAGAAGAAGATGATGCGGAAAGCCGCAGTGAGGAGATTTTGGGGGAGGCGATTGTAAAAAACAAACAACAACAACAAAAAAAAATCCCCGTGATAAGAGTTGTGAAAATGTACAGCAGTAACCATGAAGACCTTTGCTTTCTGATTGGTCCAGGTTTGTCTGGGGTGCCGTTCACCCAGTGGTCTCTCTCAGACAGCACAACCAGTGTTTAATGGGGCTGCACACACACACACACACACACACACACACACACCCCCTCATCATGGCATCTCTGCTTCCTCTTGTGGTCGAGGGCATTAATTGAATAAGACGAATCCACGACAGCAGTATTGGTAGCAGTTTGGATTGAAACACACAGTATGATGGCTTTTAAATCAGCACATGATGCACAGATAAGTTAGGCAAGAAAACACTGCAGCATCTCTGCGTGAGCGTCACAGAATCCAAAACTACAGGGCACGATGCCAGAGACAGTGCTGGCCCTGTATTATTGTTTCACTCAGTCACTAGTGCGGGGATACACGCTCAACTTGCCATGTTTTTTGGTTTTCCTCATGAATTCCTTTGGTGTGTTTGAAATATTGTTGGGTTTTTCCAAGTGTATTTACTTGCAATATGGTCACAGATGTGTTGATAAATCTTTGTTCCCTAAACATGAACTGACGATGTGGAGGAGGGACTGTGTTTAGAGTAGGTGGACGGGACAAAGATATATTAGATATATTAGTGTTTTTAAAGTGGCGTAGAGGCGGAGCCCTGCGTTATTCTACTCACTACACACATGAATTTGGAGTTTCCGTTCGTCTTAGCAATAAGTGGGTCTGCAAGGTGCTGGGCAACGTGTTGACACCCAGTCACACACACAGACAGGCAAATGTGTGCATTTTATGGACTGTATTTGAAAATCAAAAAGGTGCTAGTTGAATCATAGAAATGTGTTGTTGTTTTGCGTTTTTGCTTTAAGGGGCAGTTGAGGTCATTTTACCACAAAGGCAACAAATTGCAAATTACAAAAGCTGTTTCTTTATTCTTCGGCGCAGTGGGGTCCAAAGAACCAATCAAGTTACCATTTGAAATTACTACTTTGCTCTCAGTTTCTTGTCAGTTTTCTGGCAATTCTGCACCATAACACAACCTGTAACCACAGCAGCAGCTCTGGGAAACCTTATTTCACCTCTTACAGACATAAAGGGAGATTTGCTTGAAGGTAGCAGGCTGATAAAAACACATTCCTCCAGTTTCTGATTTAAAAAAAGCGCAGTGTGATGAGAGTCAATGCAGTATAGGGAGATAATAACTGCTGTTTGATTCAGCCTGCTGTCTTCAAATACCATACAGTGGAACTCCTTAGATTTTTCCTGCCTGGCAGTAACTCAGAGGCACATCCAAAGACAGCCATGACCCTCAGAGTGCCTCTCTGTGTGTACAGATGATGGGAGGAGTGGATCCAGGCAGGATGTAGCGCACCCAGTCCCTTTCTCCCTCCAACTATCCATCTATCCATCTATCTAGCGCTTTCATCCACCCAGCTGTCTACAAACACGTCTTGAAATGTTTACTGATGAAAGGTGAAAGAACGGAGAGACAAGCCTTTGCTGCTATCAGATGTTCCCAGTGAACGACTAAGTGAGAAATGAATGGCACATGATGCACTTTAGACCTCTAGAAATGGACCTCAGTCATGTATTTCTGAACGGCCTGTATCGTACACGCAGTGCATGGCTGCTTACTAGTGGTGCATGATGCAAAGAATGTATACTCAGAGCTTCAGATGTAGATTTTTAATTCAGGGTATGGGAATGGAAAGATGCTGTTATTTTTTTATATTCACAGAAAAGTATTGCTTCACATGTTCATTATATGGCCTTTATGTCCCCCGACAGTGCAGCGGAGTCTTGTCTCTCAGTTCAGGAACTTTCACTGTACTCTACACATGTTCATCCTTACTAAATTGCATGAGTTTGTTATCTGTAAAGGGGCAAAGAGAATTGTATGGAATAAAATTGGTGCAGAAATTATTTTTAACTGTTGTTCGTTAGATGACAAATGTGAATACACTTATGTAAAGTGGGAAAGAAATGTACATTTATAATATAATGCATAGAAAACTAATATCACATTTGTGCATTTCTATGCAAGTCAAACTGAATGTTGTCTAATGCACACCTGGTAGACAGGTGCATTGTACTAGAGCTCGTGAAGGAGCTGCGTGTTGTTGCATTGTTTGTAAAAAAATAATTAAAAAAAAAAATACTTGTGAGAAACAACAATGTAAATTTGTGCATAGAAATGTACAAATTTATTTGCAGTGCACATATCTTTATTATAAGTGCACAATTTCTGTTTCCCCTTCATAAAACCTTATTCACATTTGCCATTCGTCTAACACACACGTAATAATTATGGCACTTATTTAACTCCATAGCTGGAATCTCTTAGTGGGCTGGTGTCTGTAACTAGTACTCCTGATTGACACTGAGTTTTCATTTGCCTGGTAACCCATGGTGAGCTCACTCTGTGGCTGAAAGTAAATTTAGCTCATTTACAGACCATCTGTCTTAAGCCACAAACTTCTGTGAATTTAAACATGTAACATTATTGATTGCAACAGCAATGATTGAGCCTGGGTGTGTGATTGATGAGTTACTGGGTGAAATCTTCATTCCCTCAAAATGGGAAACTAATCAGAACTTTCCTTCACTGCCATACCTTAAACAACTCGCCCTGTACTCAATGCCATCACCATGCTGCTCTAAGCCCAACCTCATATAGGGATTCAGCAGTACTTTGGTTTATTGATGGATGTGTTAGTTAATTGTTTATTCTCTGAAGATGAATCCTAGCGTCAGCTTGTGCTTTTATGGTTGTTTTTATGGTCTGATAATAGGTTATGAAGATTTCAGCTGTAACAGACACCCCCCCCCCCCCCCCCCGGCATTTACCATTGTATTTTCTTTTTCTCCAACCTTTTTGCTCCATTTTAATTTTGTTTTCTTTTATTAAGCTCTTGTTTCTCTGATGTTTACGAGAATGTGTCTTTTCATGGTTTTGTATTGTACATTCGGTTTTCTTTCATCTTGTACGACAGTATAGCCATCGACATTTTAAAGTCATGTTATTTCAACTGAAAGGAGAAAAAAAAGATCAATATATGAAGCAAAATAAACACAATCATTTGTACAGACCTGTCTCTTTTTTCAAATGGCAGAAATGATCACTGTGTGCACCTCTGTGATCTTGAAGAGGGAGGGCAATGCCTTTTCAGAGCAGCAGAGGTCAGACTCACTATAATACTGATACTCATGGTAGTAGAATTATCTGGTTGGCACATAAAGCTGTTTATACAATATGCAAATCAAATCAGACTTTATTTATGTAGCGCCTTTTGTACAAAACTGTTAAACAACTTGCTGGACATACAATGACATACAAGAATACAACGAAAATAAAGAGTAATATAAAGAAATAATAATATAGTACATAAGAAAGATGGTAGAACAGAGAGACTAGTGTAGCACAGTAAAAGAGGGCAGATCGATACTAAATGGATTAAGGGAATGCTAAGTTAAACGAGTAGGCAGTGCCTTAAGTTTTCTTCTAAAGGTGTTTACAGATGGTGACGCCCTCCGCTCCTCTGGCAGGCTGTTTCTGAGGTGAGGACTGTAGACACGGAACCCTGCCTCCCTGTAGTTCTTTGTCCTCACCCAGGGAACATCTAAAAGGCCAGTGCCAGAGGAGCTGTGTGACCTAGAGGGAACATAGTTTAAAAGCATGTCAGACAAGTATTCAGGCACTAGTCCACTGAGTGATTTAAATGTATTCTAAAACTGACAGGCCACCAATGAAGGGACTAAAGGACAGGTGAGATGTGTGCTCTCCTTCTGGTCTTAGTCAGTACACATGCTGCTGTATTCTGACTGATCTGTAGCTTTTTTAGAGTTTTCTTATGTAGACCAGAAAGGAGAGCAATACAGTAATCCAGCCTGCTAGTGATGAAAGCGTGCAAGTGTCTGCCTGGGAGAGAAACGGCAGCAATATTTCTAAGGTGATAAAAGGCAGTTTTAGTGAGATTGGGATTGCTGATTAAAAATTCAAATCAGGGTCTGGAAGCATGCCTAGTTTTTTGGATGGGGCTTGTGCCAGGGATACATGAGATGACTTTGTCTGCAAACCTGCTGCAACCACACAGAGTTTCCTCAGCACTGTTTTAATCACAGAGGAACACCCTGAGTGGATGTAAACTGTCAGAGCTGCCTAATCAACAGGTTGAACAAGTGAGTTGAAGTTTTTTTCACCTGTACTGGTTTGACCACACTGGGGCGTTTACACACACAACACACACACACACACACACACACACACACACAGTGTTGACTGGGTTAGTGGGAAGACAGGGAACTGATGCTCACTGAGCTGTAACCATTAATTCAGTGGTAAATATAAGTATGGGCCATCTTGTAATCTTTACCAGTGTGATGCCACGTAACATAACATCTGTTCATAAGGATCTTTGTCTCATGTGAGCCTGGAAATATGGTAAAGTTCACTCAAGTGCAAATACAAAGACATGTGATTCTTTATGCTATACATCACAGCACATCACGTTCCAAGGTAGAGGCAACTGTTTAAAGTAGGCTACCACTTATTATTCTTGTTAACACCATGACTATGATTATCATGAATGTTATTTGAGTGGTAGGCTATAAGTTGCAGAAGCAGCAACAGTAGCAGTGGAAATAGCAGCAGTAGAGTAATAAATAATAATAATAATAATAAAAATAATAATCCTTATTTGTAGAGCTTTTTTCAAAAACAAGTTACAAAGTGCTTTAACAATTGTAAAGAATAATACAAAAAAACAAGATAAGAGCATGAAAACATTGAAAAGACTAAAATACAGATTAATATAAAATTAGTAAAATACAATAAAATAAAAGGGATAAAATAAAGTCAAATAAGATCGGGAAAGGCTCTCCTATAAAAGTATGTTTTAAGAAGGGACTTAAAAGAGTTCACTGACTCAGCCAACCTGATTTCCTCGGGCAGGCTGTTCCAGAGCCTCGGGGCCCTGACAGCAAACGCTCTGTCCCCCTAGAGTAGATACAACAGCAAGAAATTATGATAGGGTGGTACTTAAAAACAGCTGTAGTAGTGACTGTAGCTTGTAGGGACACTGTCATACACATAACCCCAACATAAAGTTCACATTGTGAAGACCTGACGACGTTCTACCAGCGGCACTTGAACGTAACGTCAAGTTACCTGAAACTAAAGGTGGTCTCCTCCTCTTTCGATGCCGCGCCTTTTCGCGCACACACGGCATCTTTCAGGAAGAAACAGCGTCAAGCGCTGACTGACCGGCTCCTGGCAGCTTTAAAAAGGATTTTCAGGGGTTCCCACTCTTTCATATGCTGCTGTTTGGACGGAGGCACAGTCAACATGCTGATTAAAGAATAGTGAGTATCTGTACTTCTGATACGGCGCTGTTTTTTAAGCAGAGAGAGGAGAGTTCAGGCACTGTCACTGTCACTGCACTTTGCGATGAAACTTTATGAATTATTAACATTTACATCGGCTGATACCGTAGGTGAACGTGTATGTAAATCTTGCTAAGCTACAGTGTTTTACATTTGTGTCCACTGTATTTAGCTTGGTTCAACTTGGAATGCACAGAACTCCATGTAAAGTTCTGGAAAATTAAAATTGATTTGGTTGTTAGCAAAAGTGCTTACACGCTAGATGGATTACTATGACACTGGCAGTCATGTCGGCATAGATAGGTTGATCTGTGTATCTGAAACAGCAGTGTAACTCCACTAAACATTTAGGTTTGGTTGTCACTGCCGCTATCGACCTAAACTAACTTGCTGACATTAAAGTTAACGTTAGACTGTAACGTTAACGTTACTTTAATAGGAAGAGGGAGGCTATGGGTGCGGCGAAACAACTTCCAAAGTTTAACTTTCATTGACTTAATTTATTCCTTGAGGTATTGATGAATGCCGAAGTGGAGAATTCCTCTCAAGTGTTCAAAAATGTATAATTTCACATTTCACAAGGCATGCGCGAATTAGTAAGGAAAGCCATCTCAAATTGGCAAAAGTTTGGACAGAGTTTGGAGTTTTTGAGCTTGGCAAATACCGGTGCTTATGATGTCAAGTCAATTTTATTTACATAGCCAAATATCACAAATTTGGCTCAAAGGTTCTTGATTTGAGGGAGTGAATGAAGTAGTGACCTTTTTTACATCTACATTCTTGTAACTTTTGTTTTGATTGTCATGTCATCTGACCATGGTGCAAAGTACATTAAAAGGGTAGCCATGTTAAACTATTATACTTTGGAGGAGGCGTGTGCCTTAAAAAAAAAAAAACTGCTTGTAATATAAGATAAAGTACCCATCATGCCAGAACGTGTAAACTGTGCAGTGTTTGTTAGTGGATGAGAACAGGCAAACGGATATCTTTTTCATCACACCAGCCATCAAGTTCATGCAGGGAAGGCTCCTGTTTCACTCTGATCTGTTCTAATGAAATATTCAGGCCCTGCTAGACTGGCAACAGGTGGCGATTAATTGGCTATTGTATCAAGGCACACTAGAAAAGGATACACAGATAACACACATGCAGGGTTTTTACCAACAGTCCCAGGCTTATTTGTTCTCTCACACTGGCAGTCTTTATTGCAGTTTTATAATTTCCTCTTCTCATGGTTCCTATGTTAGTGGGATACAAGCAGAGAACTAACTGTCTTTCTACTTGCCAGTGCTCATTAAATATAACTAGGGAGTGGAAAGGCTGGAGCCCTGGGGAGCAGGAACAGCATACTGTTATCTTTGCTGTGTCCCCGGGTGCTGACAGACATTAGTAGTTTCATTAGGTCCTTGCTAAACTGTTTTGTTTAAATTTTCTGTACCAGTCGCCTCTGTCGGGCAGGGAGATCGTGTTTTTCTTTGTCACATTCATCTAGAAAAAACCCAAGCCCACACCCTCTAAATAAAGGTGCAGGTGTGCCCTCACCGCTGACTGGTTAAGAAGGCACTTCACTGACACATTTTACTTGTCACGAGGAGTACCACCCAGCCTGTAAAAACAACTCTATGAAGTTTTCTGTGGTTCTGGAGAGAGAGTTGAAATTGGTCTTGAGAGTTCAAATTTATAATAGAATACCTGAATTTCAACTGTGGTGTGTGGGCTCCGAAAGACGTGGGCATTTAGTAAAAAGTTGAATTGTCCTTCTTGTACAGGTTAAATATAAGAAGAGGTATGTGTTAATTAGTGAGCTTAAGAGGTGCTGGTTGGGGGACCAGCACCTTTGGACAGCCAAGCTAGCTGTTTCCTGGATTTTCCACACTTTACACTAAGCTAAACTAACCTACTGCTGGCCCAGGACTACATATTTACCGTACAGACTTTATAGCGTTATCCACTGTCTCACCCAACTCTTTGCAAAAAAGTAAATTTCCAAATATTTCTTTAAATTCCACGTCTAGAAGCAGTTATGAAGTTATATCTCTTGCAGGTTCATCATTATTTTTTTTATTTATTTATTTTTTATATATGTGATTATTTATGTGCTGAGATCATGTAAGCTGAAGGCTGTTGTCTGTATCTTAAACCTAAAAACAAAATGTTAACCTCTGATTATGTGTCCACATCCACTTCTTGTCGTCCAAAAGTTATAGTTATTCTCTGTTGTATCTCTGACTGGGCTATCCGTGACCTAACTAATGACATCTTGTTTTTTTCTGTCTTGCAGCCGAATTGTCCTGCCCATTTCAGTGGAGGAGGTAAGGACTAATTTGTTTACTTTTATTTTATCATGGACATTCCAGCTGGGGACCTCCAGTGTGCACGTCGAAGTGTCCTTGAGCAACAAAGTAGCCGACAGCTGTGTCGTCGGTGTCTGAGTGTGTGTGAATGACACTGCCACAGTGTGTGAATAGGGTGAATGTGACATGTAGTGGAAAGCGCTTTACAAGTACAGTCGGATAACATGATAATTGACATGAAGGTACTGTCTCAGATTTAGCTAAATTGCAAAGATTTGATTTTAGTGTCCTTATCTCATGATTGTCATCCATCACAACCTAGAATATCTGCACAAATAATTTATTAGAAATGCAGTTACATCACATTTTAATGAATTATGCATACTGTCTTGGCAAAAAAAAAAAAAAAAG